ACTGAGAAATATCTCCTATAATGAACTCAGCTAATGTTCTACCAGGTGTTTGCTAATTGCTGCTGGCTAGTCTGCAGGGGCTGAGTGCTCGGAAACTTGGAATCTTGGAAACTGCTGCTCTGAGGCGGAGCTGCACCTTGAAGGCGGAGCTAGGTCCAACCAGCCGAACGGTTGCCACGGGAGATTAAAGGATTTCTCAAACATGTGTGACAGAATCAAAGCAACACTCCAGTTGTGTGTTTGATTAGGGAAACACCTTACAACATAATGTAAAGCTCCAAAATGTCAACTTTACATAACACTGCCCCTTTAAGGAAGAAATATTAGCTTTAGCTGCTGGCTTCAGCACACATTTTTAAAATGATGTTTTTAAATTTTATTGTGTCAGTGGAAAACACTGTTTTCACTCACTTTGCAGCAGCGAGCAAGAGTGTGAAACTGCTGACATATGCCTGAAATACTTCCCAAAAGTTTGTTCTTTTTTGTTGTTCTTGTTGCTGTGACGAGCTGCAAAGGCTGTAAAAGAAGAAGGAGGTTCAGTCACACAGTCTGTTTGGAGAATAGATAATAAGACTCCACTAGACTGCATTGTCCTCACTAAGAAAAACTAGCTAGAATAATGGCATGCCTGAAGAGTGGATGAAAGACCCAGGGGATCGGGAGGCTTAGCGGAGCTACGGGCTAACAAGCCTTCTCCAGAAGGCGCTCAGGCTGATGAAGGGTTAGCATTCTGGCTGACATTTCAACCTGCTTCTATAGGACAGTGGGGAACAGACCTAATGTAATGAATACCTTAAAACCACTGAGTATAGAAAATAAGTGGATTAACATGATTAAGTTATGATTTGGTGACAGTGACAGAATCAGTTTTACAAGTCAAATGAAAAAGGTCACGTTGGGTGTTTAGTTTTATTCCACTATGACTCTGTTTGTCTAATTTAATTCGTTTTAGTTCATTTGTAAGAGTGGGTCCGCTTGTTTTTATTCATTGTAAGATAAATATTGTTTAGTTTCAGTTTAGTTTTTTATTGGTAGTACTTTTAGTCTTTTCATACTTTGGTTAATTTTTAGGTGCAGGATTTAAAAAGGTCAAACGGACGTTTTCTGACATTTGATGTAAACTGTGTCGTCAGTTCAAATAAATAGATTCACAAACTCAAAAATGGAGAATATTATACTTATAATGTTTTAGTTAATTTTATGAATGCGCTAAATTAGCTATAGTTTTCCACGTTTTCATTTATTTCAGTTAATGAAAATGTTTTTTTCAATTTCAGTTTTTATCACTTCATTAGTTTTAGTTAATTGCGATAACATAAATGTCCTTTTAAACATGCAAAACATGTAAAAAGTAATCATCTTCCTTTCTTTTAATAAAATGCTTTACTGTATGTATATTCACATTGGTGCATGTGTCGTTCTATATCCACTGTTAAGGGGCCACATGCAATAATCAGACAAGCAGGTGGCTGAAAAGTTGGTGGAAAATATATTTTTAGTCGTTGAACCATAAGCCTTACATTGTCCAGGCACTGTCTGATTACAGTTACCATGGTTACCTCTGAAACTCTGTACAAAATGCATTTACCTCTTACATAAAACAATGGCATAGGCGGATGAGGAAATCAAACGTGGGGTTCAGTTGCTCTCTGGAGAAGCTTTTAATCTAAAAAACAAACAGATGCATAACATAAATGAATTAGTTGAAACAGATCTAACATAAAATGCCTTCTTTAGTGGCAACAGTATTCAGTTTCTTGGACAACTTTGAACCGAGACATTTACTAAGTGTGGGATTTAAATGCAGGTTTCTGAGCCTCCATGTGTTCTGTCATATTTTTTTAATAAACAACGGATGTCAGCCCCCAGCTAATTAACTCCAACCTACACAACGTCCAGCAGAGCTCTGGCTTTTAGGAGATGACTGAGACAATCAAGCTGGGCCAGCTGGTGCCACACACACATACGCGTGCGCACACACACATACGCGTGCGCACACACACAATTAATTTTTTGTTCTTGAACTGCCTCTGCTTTATGACACTCAGGACACACACAGGCTTCAGTAGAGAAAATGAAATGCTGGACTTTAAGATGTCAGAACACTTTATGTTACAGAAACATGAGTATGTTCAATAACCTTTGTGAAAAGTCCTAGATATTTTTATTTTGATGAGAAAGAACAGAAAGTCTTGTCTTCTGTTAAGTATTAATTATCCAGTCGATGTATACGTAATCACAATAATTCTCTGACCTTTATGCATTCTGCTACTACCTCTATACTAACAGAACTAATAGAAACTCAACTAAAACTAAGCAATATTTAACTAATAATAACTACGGTAGCTAAAGCTAGCGAACACACTCTAAAAACTAATTAAAACTAACTTAATTAGACTAACTAAAAGTTGAAGAAGATAAAACCAAACTATTATGAAAAACACAAAACTACTGTAACCCTGACCTCACAACACCTGCACCAATTTATTCATTTATGCAAAAGGAGCCACAACCGAGTACAGAGTATACAGAAATTACCACAATTTTCAGAAGCCTGACATTTATGTTTTATGTAATGCTTTTTTATTTATCTTATTTAGTGTTCTAATTTTCTAACACTTTTATTATTTTCATGCCTTAATCAGCAAAATTACAAGAAACAAAAGCTTGAAATATTTCCATCTATCTGTGATGAATCTATATGAGTTTCCCTTTCTGAAATAAATGAAGATAAAATGTGTAATTTTTTAACAACATTCGAATGTCATATGAAGATGCTTTCTTGACCCTCATGGAAAAGAAAATAATTTGGAGCTAAGGACAGACAGGAAGGAACATTTCTCAGGACCCACACTGTGAAAAACAACCACACTGCAAGCTGCATGTATAAAATTACAGCTGCTCCCAGGACAAAACCCAAAGGAGAACAACAAAAGGAACATGAAATATTCTTCTGTTTGGAATTTGACAGGGTTTGTTAATGGAAGCTGGCAAAAAAATATATATTGAATTGTTAATTAAAAAAAATAATGAAAAGGGAACAAGTGGGAAATCTATTGTAACATTGCTTTTGTCATCAGAACTGAAATTGTTTCCCCCTTTAATTACTTACTTCGAGAAAATTCCAATTCATTTACCAAAACAAAGATTTTTTTTTTTTACAGTGCTTGTCAGATGCTTCTGTTTGCCTTTGCTCTGGACCTTCCACTCAAAATATGTGTCTAAAATTCATCTCCTTAGTCGGGTTGCCATACGGAATTGTGTTTTACTTTAACAATGAATCTTTGGAGACACAACTGGCTCTTTGGGTCACTTAATATATCAAATGATAAAATATTGCTCTGTTTTTTTGTTTGTTTGTTTGTTTGTTTTTGTATTTGGTTGTTAATTGCTGTGTCCCGTATTGAACCGATACAGGACGCGATTTGTTCCGTATTTCTATAAATCTCCGATAAACACGCCTATTACAAACATATCAACATTAAGTGCAACAATAATGACATCACCAGATATATGATTTAGATATGCAGAAACAGATATTCAAATCTACGTCACAGTATTTTTTAGACGGTCTGTGAATGTTGGTCCTCTGCGTTAATTTGGTCTTCTTCGTGTCAATTTATGTAAAAATGAGAACTCATCAAATATAAACGTTCTCTCTCTGTAAGGGAGCGAGTTCAGCTTATTTTACTTGAGTTGTTTCACTTTGACAAGCATTACACAACAAGATGAGAACATAAAAGAGCCTGCATTCAAATGCTGCATGTAAAGCAGTTTATTTGCAGTAATGGAATAGAATTAAAAGATGTAACCATAAGAGGTTAAATTAGGTCTTTTCATCACTGACCATAACATTGACTATTGTAAGTAATTTCTTATTAGCCAGACATCATATAGACAAATGTTGCTCCTTTAAACTTTAAAATAATTCATAATTTTATTCAGGGGTTTTTTTTTATTATTGTTTTATAAGTCCCTATATTAGGTCAAATAAAAAATAATGCCTTAAAGCTGACTTCTTTTTTGAAAACATTTACACTTTATTGTGTTGCCCTGAACTATTTTTACTAATTTACAAGTTGCTAAAATTCCTATACATTTTAGGTTGTTTGTTTGTGTTGAGGTTTTTCACAATTTTATTTAGTTGGTTTTTTTGTATGTGTTGTGAATACAAAATGTATACGTTATGGTATCATTTGAAGTTGATTTTATATCTTATTTTTAATTTAAAAAAATTGTGACAGGCCTTGATTTAAATAGGACTGTCTGTAAAAAAAATACCGTCCACTCTACCATACAGCTTCAGCCACCCATGCTGTCTTTCTGCACCGTCTAAAATGCTTACGATCTCTCCTGGACGTCGTGAACAAATTTCATTTACTTGTAGAGAATGAATTGATTTGGTTACATGGGTGGGTACTTTCCAAGAAAGACAGCATATTATGGGCAGGGGAACATCTCAAATAGGAAATGAAATAAACAAGAAGATATCTTCTGCCCGGGTGATGACTTAATCTACCCATTATGAAACTAAGCCCCCCTGGTTTAATCCATTTGTGTGCTTTTGTTTCTTTTTCCTGCATGGAGACCTTTGTTCATGTGAAAGAAAAGATGACATGAATGAGGTTTTGTGGGCTGTTTGTCATTAGTATTGATTCCATTCTGTGGACACAGATATGGAGCCTGTTTGAATTGCACACTGACAACAGCTCCAGTCAATAAAGAGGCAGAACACAGGTCAATATCAGGTAAGCTATTACCACAAAAGAAGTACGCGAACAACACAACAGGTGGTTTCACCGACACTGCATCATTGTTACGGTTGACAGTCATTGAGTCGAGCCGCATTATCTGTCAGTCACTAAAATATCACTGTCAATGCGTCGATTCCAGGTCAGAAACAGTCTGTTAAAAAAAATCAACATGCACAGGATCAGACAGATACTGATTGAAATTCTCCCTTTGGACTGAAAAACAGCATGTCTCCGTCTCATCCCCAGATGAGGAGACGGGTCTGCAGGTGCATCAGGTAACTCGCCCTCCAGGCTTCAACACCAACCGTCGCCGTAGCCGAGCCGTGCTCTATCAGCTGTCGGGACACCTGCAGAAACAAGACAAGAGCAAGCTCAAGATCAACAATGTGAGTTTCCCGGCGTCGGCGTGGATGAATCTCTGCTGCTTTGTTGTGAGGAAAAGAATCTTAAGGCTGGGTGGAAAGCAGTCCAAAAGACAAACGTACCCTCCTGCAGTTAGAAAACTTTTTGACCACAATCCAAAATATTTTCTAGAAGTTGGGGAGACTTCTTGAACATCCATGTGAGAGAAAACATCCGTAGCATGATGTGCCAGTCTACATTCTCATCCTTTGGCTTGTGTGACACCCAGTAGAAATGCTTGTTACCAAATAGCCTAAATTGTTTCCATCTAATGGTTGTTATGGAGATGGACAGAAAGAGAGCAGCTCCAATTGCTCCACTGTTCAGACTTGCATAAATATTAATAATTACTTGATAAGGTGGAAAGTGCCATGGGCTTCCTGGTTCCAGCTGACTTCTGCGGCCTTGTCTTCAGCACGAGTCGCTGTTGCATTATGGATTGTGTAGTGCAGTTGGTGTGATTACCATATAACCTACTGGTGGGCCATCATCAATACTAGAACTACAGCCAGACAGTATTGTTTCGAGCTGCATGTGGCTAGCAGCCTTGAGCTTCACATTCCTGATCTAGAGAGCACATTAAAAATCAGTCTCTAAATATGTTTTTATTGAATTTGGAACCTCACAGAACAGAAAACGGGTCAGGTACGCGACCAGAACCAAGACAAAGTTAGGAAGTTACCAAATACAAACGGTTTCCAATCAGGCAGAATTCGATTCATCTTATCCGTTATCCATCCTTAAAGCAAGATTCTCTTTAAACACTGGGAGACCTTGAGCATTAGGAAATCCAAGGACAATCTGCATTTATCTTGCTAATACATGTCTACTATCCTTCAGAGTTGATCAATTTTATCTTTCAAAATCTAGAACTAATGTTTGCTAATAAATAATGTCTAACTCGACCAGTAATCTGTGATCTTGTTTGCCTAAATAAGACGAGAAGTTTGTTTTTCCATTATGTTCATCTCATTAGGCAAGGCTCTCTGTCGTAGAGAAGGAAGGGAGTCAGGATCTAGAAATAGATTTTTTTTTATTTGGAGGAAAACATAGAGGAAGAAACACATCGTTATTAGCGAGTCCCGTGTAAAAGTTTGCATTGTCCCAGATCTGAAATGTCCTTCTCATGCGCTCGGTTGCCTTCTGCCAAATTCTAAATCTGGCTCTGTACTCATCAAACAGGCAAAAGAAAAGCTTTTTCACTCAGTTTTCATTTGCACTTATATTCTTCACTGAGAATGAAGAAAATATCTGAGTTTTTCCTCCTTAATATAAAGCTCTTTTTGCCCTTAAATTCAACAATGCTCTCTGGGAAATAAGAGCTTCTTTCATAGCAAAGGCTTTGCCCAGTCTACTTCACCTCTCTAATCGCTGACAGGTTTAAGGGAATAAATATTTCCTAATTAAACAATAAGAATCAAATAAACACTTTGACGCCTGAAGAGCTGAAGACGTCCAGTAATTAGATTATGTTCTCGTTGCTTTACGCGTGGTATTAGACGCTAGAGGACATCATTTATTCAGAGATATTAAAATGCTTTTCTTCAGGATTCATTCGTCTCTCAGCCTAATTAAAATCTCTTAAACCTTCAACAACTCTTCAGTCAGACTGAGAGGCAGTAGATGATAAAATATCCAAACACAAGAAGGTGAGATTAGCTCTAGTTTCGGAGCAGAAACTCGTTTTTGTTTTTTTTTCTTCTTGCATGAGTTGTTGGTGTGCTCCAGTGCAGCCAGCAGCTCTGACCCCAACATATGGTCTGAAGTTTTTTCACATCTGGCTGACTCCAGGTGGAAAGAACTTCACATTTTGCTGACTTGGGTGATAAAGAAACTGGCACAACTTTGTGCAGCTTGCTGCTGCTGAAATGTCCAACTACAACTATCACCCTGGTTCTCATCTTCCTTGGTATCCAGTGGAGTTTGTGGTTAACTATGACTGCAAGTCATTCATCCTGAGGTGTTTCGATAAAAAAAAAAAAAAAAAAAAAAAAAAAAAAAAAAAACTTGGCTGGAAATCTCCACTTTGTTCTGAACGAAACACAGAAGGGGTTCTGTTCTGTTCTGTGGTTTGGTCTGATGCAATTTTTCAAAACAAAATCTGTTGCTGTTATGTTTTTCTTTGTTTTGGAGAGAAAATGCTTTCTTTTAGCAAAACAGCGCCACAACCATATTTGGCGATGCTCTGTGTAATTGTCCTATCAATAACTATGGAGTTTTAGATAGAGCTCTTGCAGCTTTTTGCAGTTTATCTGGAGCGTTGGACAGTCAGACCATGCAGTGAATCTGCTGGGACATTTACATTTGGGAACATTGCACCTGTCTGAAAAGTTTAGCTGTTTATTATAAATATTTATCTCTTTAGAATTAATTTTTCTTTAAAATATAATGGGAAAACTTGAAAAGTGCTTTGTATTAAAGTTCTCTTTGTAATATTAAAAATCAGAATGTGAATTATTTTTACAGCGTGTGGAACCCCCACACTGTCTGATAGAGGCTCATGGAGGGATTTGAGGGAGCAATAAAAATAAATACAAAACTTCTCAAATGAGTTTTTATTGGTTGGTGGCAGTGGATCTGAACTCCTATATAGATGAGAGAGAGGCATGGTGGCAGTGATGCAGCATATTTATGATATAGCCATGCGCACTGATGAGATGCTATCATCCTCCAACCATAGGTGAAAATCCCGGGGGGGCTCGGGTGGGAGTCCGGACCCCCCCCCCCCCCCCCCCCCCCCCCCCCCCCCACC